GCCACACACTTTTGAGGTGACGACCGAGACATGCGGCAAAGTGTTTGTTTTCTTTGTTTTGTTGAGACATACGTGCACATATTCTGTGAAAAATGAGTACAAAAATGCTTCTAAAAAGGTTACTCGAAGAATAAGAAGAAGATGATGTGTTGCTGTGTTATTTGTTGCGAAAGAAACAAAGAAAACCTATGAGTTCAATATTCAAAACCAGACGCGAAGAAGGATCTTTCTGTCGGTGGTCAGTGGTCGGTTTTCTGCTACTAATTCTACCAATTGCTCATCTTGGTCACCAGTAAATTTAATTTCTGCCATTATTTTACTCAACAACACACGTGCTACCTGAGCCCGTCGCGAGACACTACTGGTCCGAGAGCGGTCTCCTGTGCTTTGTCTCTGTCGCCTGTCTTTGTCTCGCGCTCGTAATTGTACTTCATACTATTGTACAGAGAGAAGACAGGAAGCGACCAGTCTCGGTCTCGTAACTCTGTCGCCTGCCTCGGTCGCTTATCTCTGTCGCGTGCAGCCAAATTGTACCTTTGTTCTTCCTCTTTTGATTACTGATTACTACGACGAGGCCTGCGACGAGTGACATGTCCGCGGCTCGGACTGTAGCAACAAGGACGTATTCAAGTTCTCACATTTTCCTGGTTCATTTCTCAGCCACGGTGAAGCCTGTGCTAATTACCCTCGGGTCGGTCTGCTTTCTGTGTTATCACACCATGATGATAATTTGTGTAATTCACTTCCGCCATAAATGGCGAGGAACTGGACTAAAACTTCCCCACATTTCGTAGTCAGCCGAATATCGACAGTTGTTTTCGTGAATTTCCCTTGTGAAGTTCACACTTGAAACTTACACAGAACGGGAAAAAAGCCTTCTGCATGTTTCAGTTAGTCTCCCCCCCCCCTGTTTTTTAATTACGTTATATTTAGACTTTGTGGTTTCCTTGTACACATTTTCTAGTCGCTTTCTAACGAATTCTTGTCTCCATGTATTTTTCTTCCTTCGATATTCCCATGCAATCGGCACAGTTATTTGTCATCCCTTGAACAGTAGTTAATTTTACCACCATCGTTTGCGCCCGATTCCACCTCGTTTGTCCAAGACTTAATTTTTGCCGGTTTAAACTGAATTGTTTTACGTTAAGGTTTTGCTGCCAAATACTCTGCAATGTTCCCTTATTCCATAAGCCGCCATGCTGTATCTTGCTTAATCATTCTTCTGGTAACTGGCGCCACGTGTTAGAGTCCTTTAGCATCTGATAGTCACTGAGCCAATTAGGAAATTTCTATCTTCTATGAAACCGACGGTTTAGAATCTCGTTCACAGGACTCTGAACCAAATCAACCCAGTCTGCACCCTCTAGTTGTTGACACCCATTCTTACGTCATCCTCCCATCTGTATCTGGGTGTTCCAATTTGTCCCGGCAAAAATTTTGTGAGCATTTTTCATCTTCCTCGTGCGTGATACTTGCCTCACACCTCTCGTCCTCCTCTGTGTGATCATTGTAATAATATACGGCGAAGATCAGGCCTGCGAACTATTAAGTTTCTAATGACGCAGTTTTTCCCCCCACTCTCTTGTCCTGTTACTTCCGCCCTTCCAGGTCCTAGGCGATATTCTCGTCAGCACCGAGTGCGATGTTCGTGAGAGAGCAAGTTTTGCATCGACCTTCTTCTGATGTCCGTCGTCAACTTCGCCGCTGGTTGTCGGTGGGTATGGTTCACCGGCTGCTCCGTGTCGAAGGCCCAGTTATTATGTAACGCGTTCGGCACGACTGGCTGACGAAAGTGAAAGTTGTAAATCACCTACCTCGTAAGAGAGGACAGCGCACTCCATAAGATCGGCAGCACTTGCCCTCTTATGTGTTTTTTCCTTATTCTTGCGCGCGGATCCTTTCGTCCTTGTGTTAACGGCGCTTAGTCGATCGCCCTCTTCAGTGTAGCAAGCAGGTGACGCAGACTTCGAATCACAAAAGGGGCGTCGGGAGAGGTACACATGGGAACATTTTTCTTGCCAGAATACATACCGATCCTAACTACCGGTGTTCTTCATCTTCGCCATCTGATCTGTTTGCACCAGACCAAGTCGAGTGGTCGAAATATAGTCTGTTGAATAACGTACCGCTGTCCGGACCAATGGCAACCCAGTTCCTGAAGCGGCTTGGGAGAGGGTGGGGACAGCTTGTCCAAGATCCTGGAGAAGGTGTTCCCATTTCCTGATGGTTTAACCCATTGTTTCCCAGACGTTCCCATTCCACGAACACCCGCCCATTTTTCGATCTTATTATTTCGAGTGTGCATTAGAACAGTCATCAGGTAAATGAGGAAGCTCATGTTCATACTGGAACCCATAATTATGAGATAAGAGACACGACTTGTAAATCGTAGAGGAAAAGCCGATCGCTGAAACTGAAGCATTGCCTGGAAAGAGGAATCACTTGAACAAAGGAAATGAGGAGATTCCACAAGGAAAGTCCATGGAAACGTCTTTTGACTTTCGTACGAAATTCGACATTCGGTAAGAATGGTTTACAGATTATTCCAATTGAAACTCCCGACTGCTAAAAACGCCCATGCTGACTCTGTATGGGACGTAATGTCTGACGACACGAGAAACTACCTCAAGAATGTTTCCGAGAGGCTTCTTAGGTGTGTCGTTTTGTTAGTTTTAGTGTCCTGATCCATTTTTCACTAATTTTGTATCAGAAACTTATGAAGATCGCTAAAACATTCAGTTTGATTACTTTCTGTAGGTTATTCCCAAAACTGTGTCTTCATCATGAACGATTACAGCTGCTTGGGAAACTCAGCAGAGATTCCAGAGATGTGCTCTGTGAGGGTTAGGTTAGGTTCGGGAGCTGTGAAACCTCCACCTACCCTTCCTGCCAACCAGAGAAAAAAACAGGTGCTCCAAAAAATGTGCACACGCATTATAAGACGGAATATTAATTAGCCTTGTTATCAATCTCCGTTTCTTGTGTTTGCGAGGGCAACGTAGAGTGGTTTACACATAGCCTAACAGATGGCACCGCAATACGTGTGTTTTTTTCTTCCCATGATTCAGATGCGCAGAATGGCTTATGGGTCGATTGAGTTTGGAGCAAAGCAGATTAATTTCGAAGTGGCGCTGGAAATTCTAGAATGTGTTCAAAGAGCACAGACGGTGTCGAGCACAAAGCCAGCAACACTCCGGCAAGAAACTGAACGGTCTTGCGCAGCGACCTACCAGCAACGTTGGTGGCCATTTTGAACACTACGTGCCAGTGCTGACTTATGTAATGGTGTATTTTTTATTTATTGTTCTGTCTGACGACAGGTCCATATGAACAGGATCCTTCCATCCTTTTCTCGGACTGGGACCTGTTCATATACGTTCTTGGCAGATGATCCAGAAGTGTTTTGCCATTGCCTTCTTCTGTGTGTGAATGGAGTAATTGTTGGGATGCCACGGAGGAAAACTCCGTGTTGCCTAGACCACGGCCTTGCCCAACACAAGTTATAAATTCGGGCACCGCCGGGAATCGAACCCGAGACCCCAGGATTACAAGGCCAGCGTTCTAACCGCAGAATTCAGCAAGCAGCGACGGCTGAATTTTCGGATTTTAAAAATAATGTGTCTCACATTTAAAAACACCCGCCGTTGTGTTTATTCTCTCGCGAACGCCAGGGCCACACTTTGGGGCTCACTGCTCGAAGTTTTACTCTGTGCAACAGGTGGATTTTGTCTTTTTTTGGAAGCTAAGAGAAAGGGGCAAATAAACTCAGTGTTTTTGTCCTGTGTCGTGACGCCGTGCGTGTGGACTTGTGTGCGTACATAACCTCCAGTCTTAATACGAAAGTCGGCTCCGGAGAAGGGTAAGTGGTTGGGCATTTCCAGACATCGCAAATTGTCTACCACAAAGAGATCGTTTCTTTGTGGAAAATACCACCAACGACTCTAGCACTTTTTTATGCGTAAGTAATGTAGCTGAAAAATAAGAAATTTTCAGCTTTGGGAGAGATGACGTGGGAAGGTGGACCTGCTTTCTGCCGCATTACACAGATTTGCAAGTAGTCGTAGACCGTGCTCCTAGCAAACCCCGTCGGCTCTGCTCTGCTATGCATTGAAAGGATCTGTCAATGAGTTGAAGCATTTGTCGTCTCTCGAATGTGGGAAAATAATAAATGCATGCAGAACTTTTGTTGGGAAACCTGTTGAACAAAAGTTTTCACATGGAAGATAACAAGGAAATGGATTTTGAGGAAACAAGGGCAGAGTTTACTCAGAATGACGTCTCGTGGTGTTAAAATTGCCAGAGAATTCATTTCCTTGTTCCGTTTTTGAGATCCAGCACCACCGTAGTTGTCCGGAGAACGTAAATCAAGTGCTTAAAAGGATAGATTGTGTTTCTGCACACAGTTCAGAAGCTTGGGCTGGCGTTCCTTGTCCCTGTCATTGGACATGTTTTGGAGTTACTACACCGATAAGTCCAGACGGTTCTGACGCTCGTGTTTCAGTGGCCTGTTTTCGTGTCCAAATGATGAAAGTGTCCGATTTCGTTGAGGAAGTTGAAGATGCAGATAGAGTACTGATTTGTCGCTGTAATAAAACAACGAGGAAACTGTATTTTGTCGTTTCGGAATACAGTTTGCTCATACCTTCTTTATAAGGCGCATTTTGGAATATTAAATCCGCCTTGCCCGCGGAAAGAGATCTGTGAACATCAAGGCAGGCCTTTAACA